ACTCGGTCAATGGCTAAAGCTAACTTGATAGACTCTGATGGCTTGGAGGATAGTTTTATGATAGATCTTGACAAAGAACCTAAAGTAGACTCTGATAGTGGCCCTGTTCTGAGTTCTCCATCTTCAGTCTCTGATTTTACAGAGTTGGATGGAAAATGTGAAAACTCATCAGCTAACAATGTGCTAGAACGTTCTGAGCTGTCTGAGAGCTTTAGTGGGGTTCGTATGTCAAAAGAACATCTAATTTCTGAACAACGGAGTGATGATTCGCTCGTTTCTCTATATGAATTGGCTGTCCCTGAAGAGAAGCTTATCGACAATGTGTCTGGTTATTTTGTCAAAAATAACATTTTAATGCGCAAGTGGACGCCATCTTCTGCTTCTGTTCATGATGATTGGAACACTGTAACACAAATTGTTGTTCCAAAAAAGCTTTGAGGTGAAATACTCAGTTTAGCTCATGACAACCCCTTAGCTGGTCATTTGGGTGTCACCAAAACCTATGATCGTATTTTGCGTAATTTTTTTTGGCCAGGTCTAAAACGGGATGTGAAGTGGCATTGTAGAACATGTCATACTTGTCAAATAGCTGGAAAGTCAAATCCACCGATTCCACCTTACCCTTTATATCCTATTCCAGCTGTAGACTCGCCGTTTGATCATGTCGTGGTGGACTGTGTAGGCCCATTGCCTCGTACCAAATCTGGCAGTAAATTTTTGTTGACCATTATGTGCGCTTCAACACGTTTTCCTGAGGCCATACCCATGCGCAAAATTACGGCCACGTCAGTAGTAAAAGCACTGACCAAGTTCTTCTCACTGTTTGGGCTTCCCAAGGTAATTCAAACGGACCAGGGAACAAATTTTATGTCTCGTGTTTTTAAACAGGTCACCAATCAGCTGAAAATATCCCATAACTTTTCAAGTGCTTACCATCCTGAAAGCCAGGGCACATTGGAGAGATTTCATCAGACCCTTAAATCAATGCTTCGTGCATATTGCCTGGAGTTTGAAAAGGATTGGGATGAGGGTGTGCACTTGCTTTTGTTTGCAGCTCGAGAAGTGGTGCAGGAATCTACTGGCTTCAGCCCAGCAGACTTGGTGTTTGCACATAATATTCGTGGCCCTTTGAAATTGCTGCGAGACAATTGGTTGAATGAATCGGAACAAAAAAATATACTGGATTATGTTAGCTCTTTTCGGCACAAGCTACATCGTGCATGTGATCTGGCTAAACAGAATTTAGCAGTTGCTCAATCCAGGATGAAAAACTGGTTTGATAAGAACAGTGTGGACAGACAGTTTAAGCCGGGGGACAAAGTTTTGGTATTTTTACCGATTCCTGGCTGTAGCCTTCAAGCGAGGTATAGTGGACCTTATGTCATTGAAAAAAGGGTAAGTGATAGGGATTATGTGGTTGCTACCCCCGACCGTGTTCGTCGTAGCAGACTCTGCCACATCAACATGATCAAACCTTATTATGATCGTGGGCAAATGATTCCTCACAGCTCTAAAAAAATAAAAACAGCTCCATCTATGCCTAACACTGAGTGTTCAACTGTCTCAAGTGTGTTGCAGGTACAATCATTTTCCGGGTTGTCATCGGGTGCTGACAGTGTCATTGAGAACTCTGAGTCGCTGTCTGATCTTGAAGCTGGCGGCGACATTGAGAGTCCATCCGTGGCTACAGTTCAAGGATGTTTAACAAATTCTGAGATGCTTGCTAATCTTGACTCTTGTTTTTTGCATCTTTCTGATTTACAGAGAACAGACATATTTAAATTAATTAAGTGTCATGTTTCCCTGTTTTCAGATGTTCCATCTCAGACTCATGTGCTGCAGCATGACATCGATGTTGGTGCTAATGCTGCGATTAAACAACATCCATACCGCGTCAACCCTGTGAAACGTCAGCGACTACAAAATCAAGTCAATTATATGTTGGCGCATGGTATTGCAGAACCTAGTATTAGCTCATGGAGCTCGCCCTGTCTTTTGGCTATGAAGTCTGATGGATCTGAACGTTTCTGCACGGACTTTAGAAGGGTTAACAGTGTCACAAAACCTGACTGTCACCCTCTTCCTCGTATGGAAGACTGTGTTGACCGTGTGGGGTCGGCTGTGTTTGTGACAAAGTTAGACCTTCTTAAAGGATTTTGGCAGGTGCCATTAACTCAACGTGCAAAGGAAATCTCGGCATTTGTTACACCTGATGCCTTCTTACAGTATACAGTAATGCCTTTTGGGGTACGCAATGCGCCCGCGACATTTCAGCGGTTAGTTAACTGCGTGTTGGGGGGAGTGCCAGGATGTGAGGTGTATCTAGATGACATCGTTGTTCATTCAAAAACGTGGCAAGAACACATCCATCAGTTGACACAGGTTTTTGAGAAACTGACTGATGCCAATTTAACAGTTAATTTGGCCAAATGTGATTTTGCAAAAGCAACGGTAGTCTACTTGGGTAAGATTGTGGGCAGTGGCATGGTAAAACCAGTACACGCCAAGATTGAGGCTATCACGTCATTTCCAGTCCCTTCCACACGTCGCGAATTACAGCGCTTTCTGGGAATGGCGGGATATTACCGTAATTTTTGTAAAAATTTTTCGACAGTAGTTTCTCCTCTCACCGACCTATTAAGTCCGAAGTCGGTTTTTAAATGGTCACCGGAATGTCAACATTCTTTTGAGTCACTTAAACACCTTTTAATGCATGCACCCGTCTTGGCGGCTCCAGTGTACGACCGTACATTCAAATTGGCTGTTGATGCTAGCGATGTAGGGGCAGGCGCTGTGCTATTGCAGGATGGGCTTGATGGAGTTGAGCACCCAGTGTGCTACTTTTCAAAAAAATTCCAGAAACATCAAAAAGCATACTCCACAATCGAAAAAGAAGCTCTGGCACTGGTTTTGGCCCTTAACAATTTTGAGGTTTATATTGGATCTTCATCTTATCCAATAACAGTCTACACTGATCACAACCCTCTCATCTTTATTCATAGAATGCGTAATTCTAACCAACGCTTAATGAGATGGGCTTTGTTTGTCCAAGCCTTTAACTTGGACATGAAACATGTTGCCGGTAAAAATAATGTGCTGGCCGATGCGATGTCACGTATTACCATATGGTGATGGGTGGTGTTTATTGTATTTTTGTTTTGTTTACCAGTCACCATTTTGGGGGTGGAGGTGTTGCGTGTGGCGTTCACTCCTGCCATTAATAATTACTTTCAATTGATCTTGTTTGTCTTTTTCCCTTTTCAGTTTTCTATTGGTTAACCTGGTGGCGTCAGGCCTTTAAAACAAACGGAAGCGGACTTCTACGGCCCCTCATTCCTCCACGTCACCACAGTCTTTGACGGCTTTATTGTTGTGTTCTCCTTTATGCTTTCCTTTTGATATTTGTTTGGAGTGGGGAGCTCCAACCTGCTTTAGGTTTGTTTGGTTGTTCTTTATTATGTTGTTGGGCTCCCCATCTCTTGTCAATTTGGATTGTTTTGTTGGTTATGTTATATTAATAAATAATTTAGCTGGAGAACTTTGGCCGTTGTTTATTATGTTACGTTGTCTTTTGGTCACGAGTCTTATTTAAGTTAGGGACCGTAACATAGTCCCTTTATTAATCAGGGGTTGCCACAGCAGAATGAACTGCCAACTTATCCAGCGGAGAACTTATCTTATCGAAGAACATGCAAACTCCACACAGAACTGACCCAGCTGGGGCTCGAACCAGCGACCTTCTTGCTGTGAGGTGACAGCGCTACCCACTAATTAATTTTTTTATGCAGTCTAAGATATTTTGATACCCAAAGTTAGTCTAAAAAAAAAAGCTGTCCTCCAGATGTGGGTCATGTCCAATTCAGACAATATAGTATCATGTTCAACATTGACCTTAAAAGCTGAAGCCAAAGCAACTCAACCTCCATGAGCCAACAGTACATGTGATTCTGCATCTGCCAGAGCAACGCTGAACAGAAACAATGAGACACTCACTGATTATGCAGGACAAACACTGTGCCGAGAGCTCATTTCAAAGTCTTTTCCTATCCACTTTTTCCCCATTGTTTAAATGCATGAAATAATAAGGTTGTGCTACTGGGCAGCACTGTGAATCAGTGGTTAGCACTGTCACCTCACAGCAAGAAGGTAGCTAGTTCGAGTCCTGACTGGATCAGTTGGCATTCCTGTGTGGAGTTTGCATGTTGTCCTCGTGTTCGCGTGGGTTTCCTCCGGGTGCTCCAGTTTCCCCCACAGTTCAAAGACGTGCGCTATAGGTGAATTGAATAAACAAATTTGCACGTAGTGTGTGTGTGAATGTGTGTATGGGTGTTTTCCAGTATACTGAGCTGCAGCTGGAAGGGCATCTGCTGCGTAAAAAATATGCTGGAATAGTTGGCAGCTCATTCCACTGTGGTGACCTCTGAAATAGAGACTAAGTCGAAAGAAAATGAATGAGGTTGCGCTACAAATAATCAAAATATACGTGTGAAAACTGATTGAGAGGTATGTTTGGCTTAGTGCTTTACTTTTACCCATCATAAAAATAACATTAAGCTCTTTCAATGTGATATTCAGTGTGGCTCTTTTGAGATTAATGCCCCTTTTTAATTCAACTTCTGTAATTTTGCTGCAGAAAGACTCAATTTGAGTTTTATTCATGGTCTGCCGAAAGTCATTTGTTCATTCTAATAAGTTTCCTTATAATACTGGATGAAAGAAAGGTGAGGAGAATAATACCAGCTCATTGTGCCCAGTTTTTTTTAAACAGACTTTAAGGAAGTTATTCTGAAAACTTACACAAAGATCATAGTGTGGGAAAAGGTGGGTAATGTTTGTAGGGAATGAGATTGCCACAGTATACGCAGAATGTCGCTTTAACATACTGTCCACAGCAGATGTTGTAAGTGGACTTAGAGGAAGATATCATGCACACACACACACACACACACACACACACACACACACACACACACACACACACACACACATTAATGCTTTACCTTCAGTGTGCAGAAGAGGCTCGTCTGCTAGATCGCCCAAACATTCCTTCTCTGCCATCTGCAGCTCATACAGAAACTGACAGTTTGGATGTCTCCCGTTGACCTTCAGGGGTAAGAAAAGAAAATCAGCCATCATATGATCTCAGTCTTACTGCCTCAAAGTGACTAGCAGAGAGCCACTGACACTAAAATAACTGACTTATGTAATCACTACTTTATCTTACATTTGTAAGTAAATTTTATAAATAACTGTAAACAAATGGAAATCTAACAATATTGTGTTACATATACATATTTTAATAATAGTTTAACAGCGAATGAGTGTAGTCTATATTTATATTATAAATAGTTTATTTTATGCATTCCACTTACTTTTTAATTTTAATAATTTAGTGTCAATTTTGGAGTGTTTTTTATTGTGGCACAATAAATCATACCCAGCAAAAACAATTTTGTGTTTAATAGATGTCTAATAGACATCTAAACATAGACAGCTTGGCTAAAACAAGGCTAAACTTAGGCTGTCTAAGAAAATCTAAGAATAGCTTAAAACTAAACTAGTCGTCAAATAGACAGATTAGACAGACTTTATATGTGTAGTCATTCAGTTTTTTTTTTTGACGACTAGTTTAGTTTTGGGCTATTCTTAGACATCTATTTGATTTTTACTGACAGCTTAAATTTAGCCTTTTTTTAGCCAAAATGACTGTGTTTAGACGTCTATTAGATATCTTTTAAAAAATAATAAAATTCCTGGGTAATTAAGTCAAAATCGTGATTCAGCAAAAGCTGCTATTGTCAGGTTCATCTTGTCAGAAGAGCACAGCTCTGTGATCAGTGATAAATCAGAAGGCGCTCATGTGTAGAAACTGCAAATATGCCACAAATATAGGCATATACAAATAATATCTATACATAGCTGGAGCAAACAATGAAGTACTGTATTTAAATGGTGAGGAGTAAGCTCATTGGCTGCTGAGACGGCACCAACCAATCCTCTGTGTTATGTGCATCCAATGACAGAACCTTGTGTGTGTGTGTGTGTATATAATAACAAATTGTTTGCAAATTTAAATAAAATGTTGTATCTTGTTCATCGTTTTATTATCTTCTTAAAGAAGTCCGTGTCATTTTCTGTAAAAAAAAAAAATTGCTTTGTTGTAAAATTTGTTACTTAAAGAATTAGTTATGTATTTAAAAAAAAACGATTTTGGCTTTTTAAAAATGTAAACATTTTTATTTCAGTTTTAGTCATTTAAGCAAATGTTGCCTAGAAAATTTGTTCTACCCTATATATATATCGCCACAGTGGAATGAACCGCCAACTTATCCAGCAAGTTTTTACGCAGCGGATGCCCTTCCAGCCGCAACCCATCTCTGGGAATATATATATATATATATATATATATATATATATATATATATATATATATATATGAGCAATTCCAGCATAATGGATGTGACATTTGCAGTAAAAACTTAAAACATAAATTCACATAAAAAGTATATGTTAACATTATATTGAAACATGTGTTTATATTTTCCAAAGCAACTAAACACAGTTACGGGAGCAGAAAAACATCAATCTGTAAACATTTTAACATTTTTTATACTTTAAATGAGAAAAATAATCAAGCATTATGGATGTGACCAAAAAGTCTGCGAGTTTACAGTGTAAAACATAATTTGTAGAAATTCTGTAAATAAAACAGCACAACCCAAAAGAAATAATGATAATCAGAAAAATTAAGAATTGTCTCTCTATAGAACTAACATGATTGATTTTTATTTTATTTGACATTTTTGCATTAATGAGGAAAAAGCTTCGTTATGGATGTGACACTTTTCCGTTATGGAAAAGACAGATGTAAAATTGCCACTTGTGTGACTTTGGTAAATCAAATAGAATAGTTTGAAAACATTGACAGAGACATTTTTGAGTATTTTTAAAGTACTGGAAAATACTTGCTTACACAAAAAAACGTAGATGTTTCTCTATTTTGGTAAAAAAAAAAATTATAGCAAGGTTGACATTTGCATGGAATTGCTCATACATAATATTTGATTTTATTTCAGTTAAATTTCCATAGTTATTGTTATGATTACCGGTGATCAAGCGGCTGTAGATCGTTGGTAAACACACGCCTTCATCTGAACTACCGTTCTGTCACTTAGGGGACTACAAATCCTGCCATGCACCTCACACAAACCTGTTCTTGTTTGATACTAATTACACACACACACAACCAGAGGATCATTATAAACTGATTACATAGACTATAAATAAACTTGTCTTGTAAACTGTTACTGTGAACTTTACAACACTTTTACCTTCCCTTGTTTAAACTTGCTCGTCTGCTTGTTTATGTTGCTTGCCCCCGGAACTGACCTTTTGTCTTTTAATGACTATGCTTTGGATTTCACGGCATGTGCCCACTTGCTTCTATTCTGACCAATGTTTAATTGACAACTCTCTTGAATAAACATGCATTTGGATCCACAACTCCATTCCATCACATAACAGTTATGATTTCAGTTAAGTATAAGGACCCAATAATAGAATGAATACATATTGATAGATGTGCATCCTCCAGCTTGAGGATTTACTTAAACATCATGAGGTTTATCACCAGTGAAGGCAGCAGTTATTAACGTATAGCAGTGAGCAGCTAACTCGGTTACGATGGCTTCCTGGTGACATCATCTGAAATGACTGACCAGCACTCAAAGCTGCTGTGATCAAAGAGTCGCCACAAAGCCTGTTCAAGCAATAGACTAAAAATCCTCTATTATAAGAAGTGTAATGACATCAAGAGAATTAAGCAGTCACATGAAGCATGCAGTTGAAGATCTCAGATGGTGTTTAGTCATTGACTGTTTAAAAAATGTGTGGGAAAAATATCAATGTTTTATTCAAGGCGATTTACCCATGTTTTTTTAACCATCATACAGTAAACATCCCTAAACCAGAGATGCCCAAAGTAGGGCCATGATAACCTTTGATTTGGCTCACTATCCCATCTTAAAAGAGAGGGAGAATGATGAAGAGGGGGTTGGGGCAAATGCTTTTGACAGAGATCGTCATTTCGAATTTAACGTAACCTATTGTTTCTTTGTTTTATTGCTGAGCAACAAAAAGCCAACTGAAATTAAATGTTGTAAATGAACCAGACTTTTCAACTGTAAATACTGTCACTTGACAGATAAAGGACAATGCACAAGACATCTGCAAGCAAATCAAGGCAAAGGCAGGAGCAGTTTGAACTAAGCTGTGACCTCCATTGTGTTATAAATAGGATTGTTTATGTTTTTACTGTAATAAGTTCATTATAAATGTTAAAAACGATACTGTATTAATTTAAAGCAATATGTTGTAGCTACTTTTAAATATTACTGAATAAATTAGTAAATTAGCAAATTTAGCATACATGGTTTGGTATATATTTTTGGTGGTCGTAGGAGCGGCAGGGTTACATTGGTGCCGTGACCCGGATGGGAGTAAGGTTTAGGGGGGTGAGTGTAACGTAGGCCAGCTAGTGTGTGCTGTGCAGGTAAACCTCACTCCTCTGACCTCTAAAGGTGCTCTAGCGACAAACGCTAGAGGCCATGGTCTTGGAGCACCCAACTCCCATGCGGAAGGTCGCTGGATCGATACCAGCTCGGAGCGGGTTGGGTGAGGTAGGACCAGCGGGGTTACACTCGGTCCCTAAATTAAGGATATTTAAAATCCAGATGTTTAAAAATGCAAGACTGTGCGTGTGTGTGTGTGTGTGTGTGCGTGTGTGTGCATTTGCGCTGTGTGCTAGTCATTTGGCTTGGGGTTTTTCCAAGCAAACATCACAGAGACAAATCAGCCCCAGATCAGGAAAGGACATAAGCCAACACTTAAAATCTGTCATTGCTCGTCTCTTTCAAAAAATTCTTCAGCTAAATCGCTGGTGAGAGAAGCCCTTCTCAGCTTTCTTCTCTATATATATCACAGATAGCCACACGCACACTAATAATATGAATGATTCTATCAGGATTATTCTGGATCATTACTGTCAGAGCGAACTCACGCTGGCTGAGATTAACTCAGGCTGAGAGCAATTACAGCCAAGTCCAAAACAGATCTGACATTCTCACCGGTTTTGTAGATTACACTTGAGATAGCGAATGAACTGTGAATAAAACTTTGAATACAAATTTGACTAAAAAATATCACATGCTTCAAGAGTTTTTCACATTTTAATGACATTTGTGAGAAGAGCGCATCGCATGTATTGGTGCTGATAGTCTGCTGTCCCGGTTTAGCAGACAGCAGCCGGTCGCACGGCTCATATCTGACTCATCCTTCTGCTTCATGGGAATTGACACATTTTTCAAAAAATGATTTGTTGGGAAAGGGAATCGCGGCTTTGTAGATGAAAGGGGAGCATCTGGTGCAATAAACATGTAAAACAGCTCCACCTGAGAATGCTGCTTTTCTAAAAGTAAACTAAGTGACAGGGATGCAAATGTCAAAATGAGATGACTGCTTCAGATGATGAGATAAATGACACTTATCAGGGCTTTAAAGCACGAGTGTAGAAAATAATTTCAGCTTTCATCTTGAAAGGTCATTTTAAATACCGTATAGGCAAGACTTTGAGTTTTGAGTTTTGAACTCACAGTTTAAAGAGTCCCTATTAAGGGTTTTTGAAAATTACCTCACATGCAGAGTGTGACACAGCTCTAAGTGAATGAATACATTTAGCTGAGGTTTAAATCTGAAATGTTTAAAGCTATTGATTTTCAATTGAATGGGATACTTCTTCTTCCAGATCACAGCCTGAAAGTGTGATTAAAATGGTTGCCTACTTGTTTTCTGTGGTTAGAATAATACATATTAAAGGTGCTGTATGTTTTTCTGTTAGTCTTCTAAAGCATAAAATAATATTTTGCAGAAATTTAGGAAACATGCCTAACATGAAAGTGAACATTCTTGTTTATCTGAAAAAACAATGCTGAAGTCAGATATTCTGCTTTAAAATGTCTGTTACGTGCTAAAACGCTGTCTTTGTTTGGTTCTTTTGATGCCATGCCCAATGCCACTTTAGCCAAATATATTTCAGCATATTTCTG